AAATTTATAATTCATTAGTTACAAGTCATGCATTTTTAATAATTTTTATTATAGTTATACCATTCATAATTGGAGGATTTAATACTAGGATCACCTGATATAGCTTTTCCACGAATAAATAATATTAGATTTTGACTACTTCCTCCATCTCTTTTAATATTACTTTTAAGAAATTTATTTACACCAAATGTTAGTACAGGATGAACTGTATATTCTCCTCTATCATCTTATACAGGGTGATTGGTAAGTGGTGGTACAAGCGGAAAGGGGGTGATTCTATGCGAAAAAAGAAGTCGAAAATATAGAATAAAATTTTTTTTTAATTTTTTTTTTTAATTTTTTCATAGAGACAACGATCTGCAGTGAGATCCATTATAACGTACCGCACGCGTACCGAGCGAAAATTCAGCACGCGTACCGAGCGAATAACGTACCGCACGCGTACCGAGCGAAAATTCAAAGTCAATTTTCTCGAAAATAAAGCCTCAAACGAAAAATTTTTATTGTATATTTTCGACTTCTTTTTTCGCGTAGAATCACCCCCTTTCCGCTTGTACCACCAGTTACCAATCACCCTGTGTATATAAACTTTAAATTTATTTTTTTTTTTGATATTTAAAAATCTATTTAATTTCCCTAATATTTTCAATATTATGCTCTAAACTGTAAGCCATTTAAATTAAATAAATTTATTTAATATTTTATTTATAAATTTATTTTATTTATTTATTTATTTATTTATTTAATTATAAATAATATATATATAAATACAACTATAATTAAATCATTATTATTAATATCAATAAATAAATATATAGTAACAATAAATAAGAAATTTTATATCTATAATGTGTTTCTAATAAATAACAAATCATGAAATCAAATAACATCGAGTCCTAACTGGACAGCGAGATTGATTAACGAAACCGAGAGCGATACGCGACGCGATCAAAAGAAGACACTGGTTAATAAATATATTGTTGACCTAAGCACCGAGTGATTATTTAATACACTATACCCAATATCACCTCAAGTTACATAAAGATACCGCAATTAATTAAGCCCGAACGAGCAGTAGTGGAAACTGAATTTAATTAAAATTCCTTCTGAATATCTCGGGAACGAAGGCCGTGCGGTGGCTACATGACTATAGGAGAAAGTTGATCAGAAAGTTGACCTTGACAACATATTCCAAATTTATTGAAAGATGTGCCCTTCTCGATGTAATGACCGAAGAGCTTTAAACAAACAAACGATACTCCAACAAATACTGTTACGGAAATAGTGTGCAAATGAAATATTTTTCATAATGTGTGAAAAGAAAAAATAATACAATAAATACCAGAATTTGAAAGTCAAAAAGGTAGGTATACAAACATTTTCTGACTCACTGTATAACACAGCATAAAGAAAAAATGAAACTTTCTTATTTCTGCTTAGCGACGTATCAATATATGCTTTACCATTTCCCATTTGCTTTCCTTTGTCCATGTTTCCGTGAGTCCGATTACGTCAAATGTCCTCAAATATTCCCATACCTCTTTGTCCTTGTTCATTATCCCTGCTATGTTTCAGAAGCACATTTTCAACCCCTTTGTGTCCCCCTTCCCCTTTCTTTCTCCTTATCTCAACCTCTTCCCCCTTTGTGTCCCCCTCCCCCCTTTCTTTCTCCTTATCTCAACCTCTCGCCTCTCTCTTTCTTTCTTCTTCCAGTCTCTCCTCGCTTTCGTTCCACCTGTACCATCTGTCTTCTATCTTCAGCTTCTTGTAACCTATTTTTACGTATTCCCCCTTTTCCTTTTTTGCTCTAGCTATTCTTCTTAACCTTTGCTGAATTTCTCTTTCCTTCTTCGTTAGGTCGTATAGGAGTCTATGTATATCCCCTTCCCCAATTTACTTTTCTCTCTCATTACCCTCGTCTTCTCCTCCCACGATTTCAACGTTGCGATTATTATTGTGTTCTTTTCTCCCATCCTTACCTTCTGTGTCCTCTCTACCTCTACCTCTACTCTCATATTTTCCTTTATGAATTCTGACATTGTCCCGTTATCGCTTTCCTTCCCCCCATTCCGCGCCCTTTATTACGATGTTCCTCTTTCATTGCGCCACGCCAGAAAAATTACTGAAAATTCTCAACGCGAGAATTGATTGTAATTTCAACAAATAAATAAAAAAAAAACAAAGAAAAAAGGTTGCATCTGTTTCTTTTTTTCTTCGTCACCCCTCAATATCCCCACTATCCGCGACCGTTGCCACGCGCGCCTTCTTCTAGAACATTCGGCGAAAGGACCGTTGGGATATCGATGACTCATTAGGCACTTCGACGATATACATCGTCGCCGAGTGCCGCCACATCTTTATCTCCATCATCAGTCCATCGGGCTTGAAGTGTGCCGGTCGTGACCAGCACGTGTTGTCACAATCGCACATAAAAAATTGGATATATGTATTGATTTTTTATTAATACACAAATTATATGTTCATAACCGGTGAAAATATGGCGATGCGTGTGGTTCGTGATGAAAATAATGCTAATAAAATTTATGTTTATTTGCTATAGATGATGTACTGATCTACAATTTTGTTTCTGTAATATTTCGTTACCAAATTACTACTGAAGCATAGAAAATAAATTAAAAATATACAAAACAAAATAAAAATATCCAATTGAATGGCACGCATATAATACAAACAAGGCAAGCTAAATACCTAGGACTTCACTTAGACACACAACTTACATGGAAACAACATACTAACTCAATTACAGGCAAAATACGAATAAAAAGAAGACAGATAAACTGGATAATTAGTCGAAACTCCAAACTTGAGCATGGAAAATAAACTAAAAAACGATAATAAAACCAATCTGGACGTATGGAATACCACTATGGGGGACAGCGGCAATGAGTTATATAAACAAAATAGAGACAAAATAGAACAATAGTAAACGTCCCATGGCACGTTAGAAACGAGGGTCTAGATAGTGTTGTAGACATTTAATTTTTGAAATAAGTTGGAAAATTTAAGCAAAAAAAATGACACGTTCTAAGCGTTTTTCTCGCTTTAATCATTATTTACACATATTTAAATGTCTATAATACAATAACAGTACATATCATTTTATTCAAGAGAGCCACAGTATTTTTTGTCCAAAACACATCTCGATGGCTACTAATGTAAAAAAATAAAACGTTCGCGAAGTTGCGAATTTGAATTTTTCTTACATTTTTTCTCAAAATTGAGTTTTTCAAAAACTGTGCGTTCTAGCAAAAAATGGTTGACCAATTCGTATTTGCTCAAAAGTGTGTACATGAATCACTTGTTGAAGGTTGCAAAACTAAATGCGTGTTCAAGAGCGCAATTCGTATTGAATGTAGATCGGTCTTTCAATTAGGCCGTCGTTAAAGTCTGATGGCAGTCAGCCTCCTCACGGTGCGACGACTGGATTGCTCAGTATTGATACTTTTCTAGAATAGGGTTCGGCTTTGTATAGTTTTTGACAACCGCTGATATATGTAAGACCTGTGCGTTCAAAATGTTTTTTTACGTTTTCGAGGTAGTTAGAATAGTAGTTAGGTAGGATAAGTATTAAACAGTTCGCCCGTTATAGAGATTATTTGCAGGTCGCAGCGATGTGTTTATAGACACACAACAGTAGATGTGTGGTCACACCATGCCTTATAAGTCAGATTCAACATAGTAGTAGCAGCAGCTTTCTCTAAATATTTCGGAAACTAAGTGAGTTTACCCCCTATAGGAAAAATGTTGAGTTTCACAACATACTTAAGTTTCATTAAAATGGGAATTGTAGCCCCTTTTATCTATAATTACTAAGATTAAATATAAAGTATGATATAACAAAATTCTTGTAAGTGTTTAATCCTCAAGCACAAAATATTTAAAAAGTTAAATTCGGAAAATTATACAAACCTCTCAATTAATTTATAATATTCCGGTCTTTGATCCCTAAATTGTAAAGCAAACATACATGAGCATTCAATCATGGATGCCAAATAGCACAGGAATGACTCTCTTCCTTTGTGTGCAGCAACCAGTTCCTTTAAGTGAGGTGGTGGTATAAGAGCAACAAAAGTTCTTGGTAAATTGTCTCTTAATATTCTAAGAGTATGAATTAAATCTATTTTGTGATCATTTAACATAGTCCATGGAGAAGAAGTTGCACACATATTAGAGCAAAAATCATTACTTCCAATCATCAACGAAATCAACTGGAAAACATAAAAATGTAGATACTATTGCGTAAACGATTAAACAATAAATGAAATTATACTTGCATCTTATACTTGCAATTTCATACTTGCATCTAATCTTTTTAAATTGTAATTGTAATTTTTAATTATATTGCAAGTGTGTTTCTAGTGAATAAAAGGTAATGTAATTAACTTTTGAAAATAGTTCACCAGAACTGCAGTGAAATACTACTCGAATTATAATGCCAATAATTTCATTATGATCTTTATTCTTTATTAATGAACGTATAAAGGCCTTGTCTAATTTTTATTTTAATATTTGAATAAAAATGGTAAAGGTGAATAATTTAGATTTTATGTGAATTTATGTTCCATTAATCAGTTGTTAATTTCAATGATCATATGCATATTAAAACACCACTTGTCATGTAGTAAATATGTATAATATATAATTACTTTGTCTACCAACATACGAACCTTCCAATGTTTGTTTATATCTACTCTCGGGTCAACTTTTATTTTATTGACCAGATATGTCGCCATGAAAGTCATATCTTTAGACATAGCTCCAGCTTCGGCGACGTTTAACTGCGCAGCTGGATCAGTACATATAGCGTCTCCAAGTGAATAACCCATTAATTTAGGATTGAATTTCTGCATATAGAAAAATCGGACTATGAAGGATTTCAGTATTCGCATTTATGGCGATAACACACATCATGTGCGTAAACAATACAGATGTAAAAAATGAACATACTTTAAGAATATTAGGGAGAGTCAGGTACTCCCGCCAAGTTCCTTGACCGCCGATACTACCCACTATGCCTCTATTTTCAATATTCACTTCGAACGTATAAATCGAAGTAACTCCAGCGCCGATTGTCAAGGAATCACCCATTGCGGCAATGACATCTATGTCTCCTGGTTTTAAATGGTGAACCGACTCGGGAACTTTCGGAGACCTGCCGGCTAAACAAATTAAAGTAAAGACATTAGAATACATATGAGCTTCAAAAGATGAGCTTCAATTTTGTTATTCTTAAACTACAGTGGGGTGAGAAGCTTATAATGTTATATATCTTCAAAAATGATATTAATAGGACAAGACTATGGATGAACTCGAAATCACATTGATTCTTGTAGCCATTACAAATTATAAAGAACAGCGTTCTTCACTGTAATTTCCTGCTACAGAAATTTACCGATTGTCCCTAGGATAAATTGCAAAAATTATTGGAAATAAAAGAAATCTGCGATTTAAATTGAATAATGATTTTAAAGAATAAATACGACGATATAATATTTACAAGTGATATCATGGAGTATTTGACAATAATAATCATAAATTTGGTTAAGTACCTGTTACATTGCAAGGAAAAGGGACGTCTATTGGAACTTCCTTTTGAAATTTATATTTATTCCGTAATTGGGACATTCGATCGCCATTTCTTGTGCCTACAAAATAGTTATTTTAAAACAATTTACAAAAATACTTCATCTGTGATGAAACATTGCACGCGATATGTCATAATTCCGATCAAGTAATTACAACGAAGGATTTCAGAACTTTTACAAAAGTTATCGAATTCGTTCTTAATTTTAGATATACAGATGTATGTCTTCACTTCTTAAATTTAACGTGCATATTTTAATCGTCTAGAGTTTTAATAGTATGTGAAAACTTTCGTGAGCTATTGTATATTTTCAAGATTTATGCTATAAAGTAAAGACGTTCAGTGGCGAGGTATCAACTTTTCCCACGCAGCCCGTCACTAACTTAACCAAAACCCAATTTCCATCTGAAATCACAATCAGGTTGCTGCCTTTTATACTCGTAGAACAAGACTGACCAGTATTTTAAGAACAAATGGAAATGCTATACAGACATCTTTTGATTTCACATTTACCTAACAGTTCGTCACTTTTAATACACTTCAGGACTGCTGTTTAGTTTCGTTACGAATTTCGAAATAAGTACTGTTTACAAAATTCCTCATCTCAAGAATGAGAAGAGGGTGCCACAGAATTCATAGCGCATGTTACTTGAAAATATAATCTCTACAATATTTATATGTTAAAAGAAAAATTATCCGTGCTGTGCAAGCTTTTGTCTACTTTTACCGAAAAAAATTTCGTCAACTTATCATTTTATCGCGAAAATATATATATTCACAATGAAACATTAGTCTATGAAAAATAAGATTCACAATATTTCAATTTTCCTCCAAAAAGCATCTCTCTAACCAAAAGAAAGTGATATTACTGCATAAAGACGTAACACGAAATAAACTAAAACAGACATACCGTAGGATTGCGTTAACCAATTACGATATCCACGATAGATGTAATTGAGAATCGACTTATCCAAGGCAGTTCTTTGCGACATGGTCAGCACGCATAATTCCAAT